GCCCAATAGAAAGAACGCAGCGGAAGGCTCAGAGGAGAGTGACATAATACACAACCTAGTGAATTCTCTCCACACAAATCCCAACAATCATTCATAGAAGACAACTAAGGGATCACAGCCAGAAATCAATGAAGAGATGACAACTCGAACACAGTATTACAACTGTTTATTAAACTCAGAGCATCGTTTTCACTGAATAACCTCAAAACCCTGTTGCACTACCCTTAGACGGGTAGCGCCTCAACCCCACACACACCGAGCAGCTAAAAATAGCACCAGAACCCCAAGTAACACCCAGCGCCACCTTGACATCCCTGCGCCAAGATGAAACAGGCTCCCAGAGCCAATCGCTACTCAGATGATGAAGAAGAAGCCCGCGCCAACAGTCTCTGATGAAAATAAAGTCCAGACGATGATACTCTCTGAGAAGATGCCACTATGGCTGCATCGCCACTGGGACCCTACTCCTGATTAGGGTGAGCAGTGCACCGGGTGCTCCAACGCATCAGACCCCTGATAGCCCAGACCGCTTTGACTCCAGAGAGTCAGAGCGGACAGCGTTGACCCCAGTCTGGTCAGCGCTCCGAAGGTCTGGCTATGTCCGCTGTCTCCCACGCATGTATCAGTCACCACGACCTGATGCCGCGCGCGCAGCAACTTCCACCACGAAGTGTCAACTCCCAAAAGCCCCGGACCGATTCTCTCAACCTATCTATACTCTACCCTAGCCTAGACTCAACCTGGACCGGACTCACTGACCGACTGGTACCGTTTCTGTTTCGGCCCGTAAGGCCTCTCCCTACCCGGCTATAGGCTATAGGACCGTCTATCAGCGTAGACCCATTGGGCCTGTCTGTCCTAGGGGTAGCCCGGGTCTGCTATTCGCAGTTAGGGTAGCTGTAGGAAATTCGAGTTAGTACTGGGCCCATATTCCCTATATTTACAAATATGTCCCTCACGAATTTTTCCTCACAGGTAGGTCTCTCGGTTAGCCCTCAGCCAAACAAAATTACGAATCTGTCCCTACCTATGGTACAGCCTCGTGAGAGAGAGGCTACAGGCAACCTGGAACCAGCAAGTCATTGCACAAGTAAGTCTGTGAGTGCATGGGTGGGCGAATGGGTGGGTATGTGAGTAAGTGGTTGGGCGAGTGGGTGGGTAGGTGCGTAAGTGGGTGTGTGGGTGATGGAGCAGGTGAGTGGGTGAGTGAGGGGATTAGTGAGCAGGTGAGTGGGTGAGTAAGGAAGTGGGTAGCTGGTCGAGTGACCGAGTAGATGAGTGAGCAAGTGGGTGGGTGGGTGGGTGAATGCACGAGTGAGTGGGTGAGTGAGTGGGTGAGTGAGTGGGTGAGTGAGTGGGTGAGTGAGTAGGTAGCTCAGTGAGTGGGTGATGAGTAGGTGAGTGAGCGGGTGAGTACGTGATTGAGTAGGTGAGGGAGTAGATGGCTCAGTGAGTGGGTGAGTGAGCGGGTGAGTAGGTGAGTGAGTAGGTGAGTGAGTGGGTGAGTAGGTGATTGGCTCAGTGAGTGGGTGAGTGAGCGGGTGAGTAGGTGAGTGAGTAGATGGCTCAGTGAGTGGGTTTGTGCATGAGAGGATGGGCGGGTGCATAAAAGGGTGGGTGGGCATGAGTGGGTCGGTAGATGAGTGGCTTGATGAGGGAGTTGCAAGAACCCACCGTTTCACAGCAACCCGCATTTTGTACCATAATTGTGTTCGGCATTGTTGTTTTTGCAATGTTCCTCGGGGTCATATTTCTGCAATCTCTGCTACCAGGAGGGACATGCATGTAAACATTTTGCCTAAATGGATTGGTCGTCACCTGGTAGGCCTGAAAATAACGCAGGGTACCAGACCTCTCCGGTACTTCTGTATCCTGCCTGGAAGTGGAAAGATGCAGCATTACCATCCCACTGAAAGTTCTATCTGGGCAGTTCCTAAAATAGGCCAGACCCAGAGGCCAACTGGCTGGCTGTTGGTGAAGTATTTAGGCCCAGCCACTCTGGTCAAACAGATATCGGTGGATCCCATTGGGCTGCCCGATCGCTGACTTGGGCTCCCTTGATGGGTGTGAGAGACTCATCCACTTGCACTGCTCTGCTCCTGCCAGTACTGGGCTTATGGTAATTACAGTAGTGTTAGCCCATCAGGAAGTCCACGTGCTGCTCCCCACGACTAGATTTGAGCACTTGTTTAAAAAAAAAAGAAAAAAAAAAGGAAGTCAGTAGGCGGTTGATACTTGGTGGTTACTAGTTAGACATCAGGGTGAAGGCTGGTGAAGGATGTTAGAGGAGAGAGGGACTTGGACACTGTTCTTCGAGGCTGTTTCTCAGTTGTTGATCCATGGTGTGGCTGTGAAGAACTTGACACTTTCAAACTGTGATAATAATTTTGAAGGTGTTAGCAAGGAGGAGAAGTGGCACTGTTGACTCTTGATTTCTATTCTACTTGGCATGTGTGACACATGGATTGTTTGAGTTGATCGTGTGCTGTGAGCGGTAAGAGTTGTTTGGGAAGGTCCATGTATGGGCGTTTGACTTGCTGGATGACTACAAGTTACGTGCTGCTGAAATACAGTGGACGCGGCAAGAGGGGGAGTGGGTGGGTAGTGGTGTTCGAGGCAAAGTGCTGGAGTGGGAAGTGGGAGAGAGTGGGGAAGTGGATGAGTGTGGGAGTAGGGGAGCGGCGGAGTGGCGAGATGGATGATTGTGCGAGGACCGTGTGGGGGGGGAGTGGGAAAGCATGGGGGAGTAAGCAAGTGGCTAAGTAGACACCGAGTGGGGAAGTGGGTGCTAAGTGGGCGAACATGCAAACGGGTGGGAGTCGACAAGTGGCAAATGAGTGAGTGGCAGACTGGAAAACTGGACAAGTGAGCTAGTGGGAGTGTGGGTGAGTGGGGCAATTGGCGGAAGATGTCGCATCGGTGAGTGAATGAGTGGCAAAGGCAGGTGGATGAGTGGACAGGGAGCTAGTGTATGAGAAGGGAAGTGGGTGAGGCGAGTGGAAGAGTGAGCAGTGGCGGAGCAGGGACCAAGTGGAGTAGTGAACACCGAGTGGGCAAGTGAGGAAGTAGGGGAGTGGGCAGGTGTGGCATACTGATTCCACACGGGCCCCAGTTAGGGCCCGGTTCCGTAGTTAGGGTAGTTTAGGCCTAAGGACCAGGGGTCACGACGGTTCAGACCATAGGTCGGCCCAGAGGCCAATGAGGCCAACGGCCACAAGGGCCAGGCCGGTACCGGTCCAACACTAGGACCTACCGGCAGCACAGTTTCAAGCCAGCCACATTTAGGCGCCAATTGCAGATTCGACTCTGAACCGTTGATCGGATCAACGGTCCAGACCCAAAGGCACTGGTAGGACTGAGGCCGGCCCAGCACTATATTAGCTGCGTACCAGCCTCAGTAGGGTAGGTTAGTAGTGAGGATGTTAGTCTTTAGAATTAGCGCAGCACATCAGCATTAGCGGCGGAGCGTGGAGAGAATCAGTGCAGCGGTTGAGGAGAGATTAGCGCGGCAGCAGCAGAATAGCGCAGCGGTGGGAGAACGCCAGCCTCCGGCCCAGCCCGTGGCCCAGCGCCAGCTTGCAGCGCCATAGCTGCCTCGCAGGTATCGGGAGAAAGGCCCTGCCTTTCCCCCTCTCTCTCTCTCTCTCTCTCTCTCTCTCTCTCTCTCTCTCTCTCTCTCTCTCTCTCTCTCTCTCTCTCCGCCTACCCTCTGAGTCTAAGTCTACTCTACTGGACCACTCTGAGTACGAAGGATGGTGACGAGTTCTGATGACAGTTGAGATAGTAACAATGAGACATCGGTTGAGGATTACTTCTGGGATTCCGACTTCATCTACTTCTGGAGATGTATCTTGATATTGGGATATCAACATCTGGGACACTGTGAGAGTCTGTACTCACGACATTCTGGATTTGCGCTACTTATGACATTCGAGATACTATTTTTGGATCCAGGGTGCTGACGTCATCTTCCCTCTCCTCCTCCTTTCATCTCTCCTCCTCCTTTCGTCTCTCCTCCTCCTTTCGTCTCTCCTCCTCCTTTCGTCTCTCCTCCTCCCTCCATTCGTCCGTGTATGATCTCAGACCCTGGCCTTTTTCTTCCGTGTCCAAGGCCAGGGCTTTCACACCACTGATGCATGTTGAGAGTGTTTCATTGCAGTCTGAGTCAGGTCAGAGTCAGTCCATGTGTATCAAGTCTTTCGCTGTATTTGTATTAACTCTGTATTATCTGGTCGGTTCTGGGAATCTGCGCCATACTTATGACTATGTTTCACGAGTATGCAACAGCAGGTGGACAAGTGGTCAGGTTTGGGAGTGGGCAAGTGGGGGAGTGGAGAAGTTGGCAAGTGGTGAGTGGAAGCGGTGGAGTGTACAAGTGTGCACATGTGGGTAATCATGAGCACTAGTGGGTGACCCAGGGAGTCAGTGAGAACAGTGGGTAGTGAGCGAGTGAGTGCTTGAGTGAATGAGCCAGTGAGTGAGTGAGTGAGTGAGTGAGTGAGTGAGTGAGTGAGTGAGTGAGTGAGCGAGTGAGTGAGTGAGCAGGTGAGTGAGCAGGTGAGTGAGCAAGTGAGTGAGGGAGCGAGGGACAGAGGGAGCAAGTTAGTGAGGGAGCGAGGGACGGAGGAAGGAAGCTAGTGAGTGAGGGAGGGAGGATGAGAAGGAGTGAGGGAGGCAGAGAGGAAGGGAGGCTAGTGAGGGAGGGAGGAAGGATGAGAAGGAGTGAGGGAGGCAGAGAGAAAGGGAGGGACGGAGGGAGGGATCAAGGGAGCGAAGAAGTGAATGAATGAGGAAGGAAGCGAGCGAACAAGGGAGTGAGTGGAGAAGTGAGCGAGTGAATGAAGTGAGAGAAAGAGGGAGGTAAGGACCAGTAGTGGATGGGGTAGGGAGCGAGATAGTGAGCGTGTGAGGGAGGGAGAGAGTGATTGAGAGAGCTGTTCCACTGGCTAGGGAGTGAGGGAGCCAGTTGCTCATTTGCTAATAGCAGTTGTCTGTGGCAGGCTAGCGGGAAATTACGGCTATTGGATGCTTTGTTGAGGAAGCTTAAGGAAGGAGGCCACCGTGTCCTGATCTACACGCAGATGACACGTACACTTGATATTTTGCAGGTATGAGATGGTAAATGTGTAAGGTTGTGCTTTAAGCCCAGATAGCGGTTGGTTGGTATTGAACCTCCGATACATTTCCCAGCTATTTTTTTGAAGTCGCGATTTGCATGCTGCCGCAATTCTGGGGGCTTGGACACCAGGGCAAAATGGCTGGTGGCTCCAGCCAAAAGGAGGCCCGCACCAGTTCGTTGTTTTTTGGCGCACAGCGTGTCTCCAGCCCCGGAGAAAAGTGCCCTGGAAGCACTGGTGTGTTATGATCCTGGCTATTCCGAAGTGCAATAACACAAGGAAAGACAATGCCGTTCGATTGCAAATGAAATGAAAGAACTTGAGAAAAGAAATTGACTTGGGAAGAAGAAGATATAAGAAAGAAAGAAAGAAGAAGAAGAAGAAGAAGAAGAAGAAGATGTACACTAGCAAAGACCAATGACAAATCCCCTTCACTCGCCAACTGACTTCGTCGTCCTCATCTCCCCCAACCTCTTCATTCAATAAATAATAATAACATTTATGAATGACTGAACCAGAACCAATGTCCGAATCTCCTCCTTACTGCCAGCAGTACACGAGGTACACCATAGCCACGACTTACACCTTCTTCCACCTACAGATGGTGGTGGCTATGGCGGACTTGTGGGGCCTTGCCACGATGTTCAAAGGACAACGCAAAATCTGATAGGTTCCCTACTACTGAGGAGCGGTTAAAGATTTGTCATGCAATTTACAAGAAATGCAAGGAACATGAGTATGGACGAAGCACAGAAATCCAGAATGCAAAATCACACAAGTCCAAGTATTCAAAGCCAAAGCAGATAGCACATGGAACCGAGTAACCATCCCATTGAGAATGATACAGAAGAATCGTGAGTCAATGTCCATGCCCACCAGGGCAACACCAACAGCATAACCCAAATGTAGCTCTCTCTTGTGAATGGCGCCAGGCGCCCTATCTACTCTACAGCCTATCCTACAACTACAGCAATGAACTGCAACCAGACAACTTGACTACCAGCGAGTGATGATGTCAACACCAATGCAGACCTCCACCATCACCAGGTACGTGTCCTCTTCCCCACACTCTCCCTTGTTACCCACACAGCGCCCTTCACCTCCGAAGTACCACCTTCGCCCTCACCTCCCCTGCACCCTCATGCGGCCCGGCTATGGCCGCCAGTGCCCTGCACGCAGGCAGCGCCCTACCGCCTAGCGCTGGCCTGCCTTGTCTTAGCGCAGCGCTGCTCTGCATAGCGCAACACACTTGCATCTGCGCAGCGTGCCCGCATATGCCAGCATTGGCCAAGATCCCTGCCCACTCGCCCTGCTTGCCTATATGCCARTGCAGCGTGTGGGCGGCCTCCCTTCAGCCTGTGACCGGGACCCAGAGGCTGAAGCCAACTCGATACAGTTGGGCCCCGGGGTAATGCAGTTGCGCCTCTTTCTTCAAGGCCTGCGTCCAGATTCAGATAGTGGGCCGATTTCCCTTTGGCATTTTCGGCCTCTATACCCAGCATGCATTGTCGGCCTCACGTTCAAGTACCCAGGGCCTAACTAACTCAGAGGCCCTGGGTTTTCAGCATTTGCTGAAATCCGAGACTCAGTGCACTCCAACCAACTGGCGTGCTGCAACTGTATGGACCCCACTTCGTGAAATGTTGGCACAGAGGGCTCTTGTTGATTTGCTGGCCCGCCTTCACTTAGGGCGGGCACGAGGCTTGCTGGGGCCTTAGCCTAGAACATGTACATCATGGCAAGGCCCCTACTTGAGGGCTCAATCCTCACAGAAAGTCCAAATCCCTTTTTAATCAAACGTGTCACCCATTCATAGAGTGAACCCCACACTAACTAACAGCGAAAAAAAAAAAAAAAAAAAGTTAAAAAAACAGCATAAAATTCAATGCAAAGGTGCACTTTTAACGGAGGCCCGAATTTTCAGAAATTTGTCATGCAATTTCTGAGAAAACCCAAAGCCCTTTTTAATGAAACTATTACCCATACATAAAGTGAATACCATACTACCTAACAGCAGAAAAAAAAAACAAGAAAAAAAAAAAAAAAAGTTGAAAAAACTGTAAAACAGCATAAAATTTACACCAAATTTGACACACAGTAACCTCGACCTAAAATTAAAAAACAGGCACCAAAACACGCACACACACACACACACACACACACATACACACACAAACATATTCGACCCCCAAAGTTCCCGAACCCTAATCTCAGTTTTGGGCCCGTTAGTCAGGGGTTGAAAAAGGGGGGTCCCCATTAACCAGTAGTGGACATTACATTGTGCTTACTACTTGCCCTTCACTGGCTTAGCTGAATATCGAACTGTTCTGTCTTCTGTGACCGGTTGGCTAGGATAGGCAGTTTGAACTGTTTTATACTAAATTTATAGTGCTTTTGAGTTTTTTATTTTTCGTTTTTCTTTGCCTGTTTTTTTTTTTTTTTTAATGTTTGTATTACGAGCCTGCATTGTTTGTTCAGGAAATTTTCGACGATGTTGCTTGTGGTGATGTGGCGACCCCCCCCGAATTTTGGTTTTCCATTAACCATCTCTCTTTCAACTGCTCTCTGAGAGCGGGGGCGGCAGCTTTTCTGTGCTATCTGTCTTAGTTTACTCTCGCTCCTTTCTCACTGCAGGTACGGCTTGCAGTAGGGAGGGCCATGAACACTTGCTCAATCAACTCTTGTTTGACTACGTAGTACGTACCTCGAGAACACACGTGCACTCGTGCAGCTCATGGACTGTGGTGTTTGGTTTGCAACTGTGCACTGTTCATCCGGAGTCGTGGCAGAGGCGGATAGATCTCTTAACTCCCTCCTTAATTGTTCCAGGGTGCAACACCTTCTCCACCTTCACCACCTTCACCACCTTCTCCACTGAGGGAGTTGAAGGGTGCAACACCTTCTCCTGGACCACCTTCTCCCCCGTTCTCCAACTGGAAGTATCCCTTCACTCTCCTTCAGCATACTCTGTCATCATCATGATCTCGCTGCCGCTAGCTAACTTGCTGATAATAGGCTGTTCCAGATTATGATCTTCCTCATCGCTCTATCCTCTAGGTGAAATTTAACTCCTTGTTGAGCCCGGATCGACCAGCGCCCCGACACGCATCTTGACTACTACTAATTCTGCAACTTTCTAACTTCCCTTTCTTCTTGGTCGTCTTAGGGGGTCCAAGACTTGCGAAGGTTGATCAGCTGTGAAGGTTGATCGGCTCTCATTGCCTATGTCTGTGAGGGAACCACTGTTGGAGACCCTGCAACGAGCGATCTCCAGGCAGCTACCTAAGTGTTGGACCGGATCAGCTTCTGCCTTGGCCTGTGAATCCGGTGGGGAAGGCTCAGTGTACATCTCTTATATCTTCTTCTTCTCTGAATTCGCAGCCAGGGTAGGAGCAGCTGAACCTCCTGCTGGCCAGTCCCTTTTGCAGGCTGCTTCTGCCAGTCGGGGAAGAAAGGGAGGACATGGTCGTCGTGACCACATTTATATTATATAATGATTTAAAGCATCTTCCTTGTCCCGGTGCTGCTGCCACTACTAGTAGGCCTGAGACATGGCCATATGCTTCCTCCCTGGATGCGCAGGGAACCTACACGGGCTCCCTACCTCCTTCCTTGCTCTGGGCAGTATCATCTTCAACCTCTAGGTGGAGAGTGGTTGCCTCTTCCACTGCTAGGGGCTCCTCCTCCTCTTCATGTCCCAGGTGGGCCTTGCCACCCACAACAGCAGCATATTCCCCTCCTTCACATCTACTGCCTTCGGCCTCGTTCCCTTCTCTCTTCCTAGGGGACAGCATCTCTTCCTCCTTTCTTCGTAATTGATCCGAAATTCTGAATCATACATCAGTGGTTCAAGTGGGACTTCGTTGTGGTATGATTTTGTTCATTGTGTCAGAAGTGAGGTTTTCTGAACGTTTTTCAACTTTTTTGTCGTTTTTTGGGGGGGCTTTCTTTCATTCAAGCCTGGTGCATACCGTAGAAAAATTGGGGTTATTTGGCCTACAAAAGGGGTACTGAATCTATTGATATGTTCGATCCTTGGGGAATGCCTTTTTCTTTTCTTTTTAATGATTTAATCCCCTTTCTTATATACTTTTTTTTTTTTAATCCCCTTCAGTGTTGCACCCCCCGACGGTTGACGGCCCTTGACTGGTCAGCTGCCGACCCGGCGACCGATCAGCTGGTCGGCACCTACTGGTCAGGGGTCGTCGGTACCCCGTCAAAAAAAAAAAGAAAAAAAAAAGGGGGGGTTCCAGAACCTCTAATAACACTACCAACACCCCCATAGCGGGCACCAATACCCCCATACACCCCCCCAAC